CTAGGCCCGAAATGTCAGCCTCTCTGCTCCTATGATGCTGCTTGGCCTGCTGTGTTCATCCAGCCCTGCACCTTGTTGTCATAGTTTCCCCTGTCCTCACCTTCCACCTCATCAGTCTCTACATTCAAAAGGACCTTCCTCCATGATTTCCACCACCTCCAGCATGATGCGACAATCAAAAGAAACTTCTCCACCACATCCTTTCCAAAGTCTTTCAGGAACTTTTTGCTCCATGACACCCTGGACCACTCCTCCATCACTCTTAGCACTTCCTCACCTTCCCACATACTCAAAAGGTGTAACATTTGAGCTTTTATCTCCTCCTTCCTCACTGTCAGAGGCCTCAAGCTCCCCTTCCAGATGAAGCAACAGTTTACTTGTACTTGTTTCAATCTAATCCAGTGTATCTGTTTCTCACAATGAGGTCTCTTTTACACTAGTGAAACCAAACGCAGACTGGGTGACCACTTTGCAGAACACCTCTGCTCTGTCAGTAGGAATGAGCATGAACTTTCAGTTGCTTGCCATTGCAATGCACCATCTCTCATCCTAAGAAAGAAAGAAAGAACTGCGGATGCTGGAAATCAGAAACTGAAATAGAAATTGCTGGAAAGGCTCAGCAGGTCTGGCAGCAACTGTGAAGAGAAATCAGAGTTAATGATTCATGATCAGTGACCATTCCTCAGTTCTCAGACCCTAAATAACTAGAGAACATTCACACTTTGGATCAAGTTGGTGGAAGGAATCCTGAGGGACAGGATTTACATGTATTTGAAAAGACAAGGACTGATTAGGAATAGTCAACATGGCTTTGTGGGTGGGAAATTGTGTCTCACTAACTTGGTTGAGTTTTAAGAAGTAATGAAGTAATGAGTTTAAGAAGTAATTTTGATTAGGGCAGGGTGGTGGACATGATCTATATGGACTTCACTAAAGTGTTCGACAAGGTTTCTCATGGTAGACTGGTTAGCAAGGTTAGATCACACGGAATACAGGAAGAACGAGCCATTTGGATACAGAACTGGCTCAAAGGTAAAAGACAGTGAGGTGGAGGGTTGTTTTTCAGATTGGAGGCCTGTGACCAGCAGTGTACCACAAGGATCGGTGCTGGGTCCGCTGCTTTTCGTCATTTATATACACGGTTTGGATGTGAACACACAAGGTATGGTTAGTAAGTTTGCAGATGACACCAAAATTGGAGTGTAGTGGACAGTGAAGAAGGCTACCTCAGAGTACAATGGGATCTTGATCAGATGAGTCAATGGGTCAATGAGTGGCAGATGGAGTTTGATTTTGATTTTGATAAATGTGAGGTGCTGCATTTTGGAAAGACAAATCAGGGCAGGTCTTATACACTTAATGGTAAGGTCCTCAAGAGAGTGTTGCTGAACAAAGAGGCCTTGGAGTGAAGGTTTATAGTTCCTTGAAAGTGGAGTTGCAGGTAGATAGGATAGTGAAGGTGGTGTTTGGTATGCTTGCCTTTATTGGTCAGTGCATTGAGTATAGGAATTGGGAGGTCATGTTGCAGTTGTACAGGACATTGGTTCAGCCACTTTTGGAATACTGTATGCAATTCTGGCCTCCCTGTTGCCAGGGTTGGAGGGTTTGAGCTGTATGGAGAGGGTGAATAGGCTGAGGCTATTTTCCCTAGAGTGTCAGAGGCAGAGGGGAGGTTTATAAAATCATGGATAGGGTGGAGTCCAAAACTAGCGGGCATAGATGTAAGGTGAGAGATGAAAGATTTAAATGGGATCTAAGGAGCAACATTTTCACACAGAGGGTAGTGCGTGTATGGAATGAGCTGCCAGAGGAGGTGGCGAAGGCTGGTACAATTACAAACTTGAAAAGGCATCTGGATGGATATATGAATAGGAATGGTTTGGAGGTATATGGGCCAAATGCTGGCAAATGGGACTAGATTCATTTAGTACATCTGATTGGCATGACGAGCTGGACCAAAGGGTCTGTTTCTATGCCGTACATCTTAATGACGCTATAACAATCCACAAGCCTCACGACTTCCATAAATGAAATGCTGTGGTCAGGTTGATGAATGCAATGAAAATTTCCTGGTGTAGTTTACAACAGTTCTGGGTTTTGAACAAAGTGCATGTCAAATCTATCTTTGCAAGGTTTAAAGCCAAATTGCGTCTCTGGTGGACTTTCTCAGACACAGGAAATAGGAAATTCAGGATAAAATGTGTGTTTAGATTTTCGCTATAATTGACAACAGGTAGAACCTTGATAGTCTCCACAACACAATTAATATCCCTTCTTGAATACGCAATTATTGTTTTCCTGTAGTCAGGCATGGGACTGAATACATAGGATGAGTGTGTATGAAGCTAGAGCACTGATGTGTGCAAAAGCTTTAACGATGGAGTACCATCAGTGCTACAGCCTTTATAGTTCTCCCATCAATTGTGATTCACCCATGGATTCTATCATGGGTACTATGAGATAGGCTGGAGAACGTCAGCTGTCAATGTGGATTCACGGTTAAGGAGTTGTTCAAAATATTCTTCCTGCTTTGATGACAACCTGACAGCAAAGGGGAATGTGTCCATTTAACCTTAGTCTTTGAATGGTTTTGAGAAATATTTACCATTTTTTTTTTTTTTTAAGTCTTTTGTGCTACAAAACGGTGTTCGGTATATGTTGCATTTTGTATGAACTCCTAGTAGATGAGTTCATATTTTTGCTGTGTGACTTGAGTTAAATCAGGATCACAATGAAATAAGGATTGATGATGTGAACCGATACTGTGAACAGTGAAAGGAAAATAGGGACAGCTGTCCAATCTATGTTATCAGTTGTGATCAAAGATATGGTTTGAAATATACAGATTAAACAACTTTGGAGCTATAACTTACATGAGTGCTCGAAAGTTCAGAAAATGATTATATAGGAAAAAGGTTAATGGTGGGCTGCCTAGGTATGAGAATATTCTGTTCAGGTTATGACCATGGGTCTGTGACAAACAAAATAACAAAATCAAAGTGCAATGACAACATCAGAATACAGGAAAATACATG